TGTAGGACATAATAGCTGAATCAGATGCAAATTGGGTGTCCTTTGCACTGTCCTAATAGTAATATGGACATATTTGTATGACTAAAACCTGATGTCTTTTACAGCAAAGGACTGCTTTGCACCTGGCATCTCGGAATGGCTATGATGAGACTGTAAGATCTTTGCTTAAAATGATGGCCAAAGGTCGTGTGGATCTTAATGCTTTCACCAATCAGGTACGTTGATTGATTGTACACGTAACTGTAAAGTCATGTATAGATTTCATATTTATCTGGCAGTCAACTTGAGAGTTTCTGAATCAAGGTTGAATCATAATTTGCAACAAAAAAATGGACTTACCCTCTATTTCATCTGACCAACTCCATTTATCTTTGTCAAGGAATGAGCAATCCACCATGCATTTCTTTGAGGTCATGTAAGCAGATAGAACAATAAGTCCTTGACAAAGACTGGAGTTGGTTGGATGAACTGTCAAGCCAAGTCTGGTATTTATTTACATCATCAACTTTAGGGTTTACTTTGAGCTGCCTCCTGATCTTGATGTCATTATGTACATGCACATGTCATGCCTGACATATCTTACAGCAATGGACTGCCCTGCACCTGGCAGCCATGAATGGCCAGCACAAAGCTGCTTCTGTGTTACTGACAGCAGGTGCAGATGTGAATGCACGGGACAACGAGGTACCAGGTTATTAAGTATTTTGCTAATAATTGCAGTGCATGAAATATTCCTGTAGAATCATCCAATCTTTGTTTCATTTTCAAATGGTTGTTTTAGGGGTGACTATCTAAGCCTTCTCCCACATTACCAAATTAAAGAGTTGGCAGCCGAACAACTACTTGTTAAAGCCCTTAAATACTTTGCAGCAAAAGACTGCCCTGCACCTGGCAGCCTGGAATGGTGACTGTAGAACTGTTTCTCTTCTGATAACAGCTGGTGCAGATGTGAATGCTCAAGACAAGTGGGTAAGTTGACATGGGACAGATGTCAGCTGTGGTAAAATGAGTTTTTAGGGGCTTTCATGTATAGACCAACATTTCTTGACCAACATGCTATACATTGTACATGTTAGAGTCAGAACAATTCAATCTACACGTAGTTAGGTTATTCAATGCCACAGAACGTACAGTGACTTACATAATTATGTAAGTAAACTACAAGCTGCTGTTTGAAAATAAAAATACAAAATAAATCTTAACATTCCACTTACTATCATATTATCAAGACCAAGAGATTATTGCACAACAAATGTACAAGGTGTGCAACGTAGCATTTTCTGCTTAATACACAACAAGCATGCTTTGAGACTATTTTACCCTACAAATACTGTTACAGTAGTAATTGGGATGAGGATATATTTTGATTGGTGGAATTTCTAACATTTAGGCTTTTTAACATTGTCCTATAAGATATGAGATGTTCCCTTTAAATGTGTACATAAAGGTAATTATATAAAATGTGACAATTGTCTTGTCAGTGCAACACCCCCATTGGAGAGGCTAAGAAACGAGGTCATCAGACGTGTGTGGAACGACTGGAGGCTGACAAGGACAGCAGGGACAAGGTACAGGAATTGTTCATCAGTTTTGTGATTAGAGCTAGAATCACTAACCTGCCTTCTCTTTGTGCATTGGATTCAAGTACACGATTGTATGAGAGTTTCGAAAGGCCCAGTCTGTGGGGTCGTGTGGCGCAGTCGGTAGCGCGTTCGGCTCACACCCCAGAGGTTGTGGGTTCGAACCCTGCCCATGTCACCGATCTTGTGCCCTTGGGAAAGGCACTTTACACGACTTTCCTCACTTCACTCAGGTGAAAATGAGTACCTAGCTTCGGTTAGGGACGTCCCTCGGATAGGACGTTAAATGGAGGTCCCGTGTTTGGGAGAGCCACACCCCATGCACGTTAAAGAACCCACCGCACTTATCGAAAAGAGTAGGGGATCTTCCCGGTGTGAGTGGTTCAAAACTTACAGTCCGGTCTTACGCAGCTTGTACATGTGCGCACATGTACAAAACTGGTGTGTTACGCCTGAAGGTGGTTTACCGGTTATGCGAAACAAACAAACAAACAAATCATCATCAGTCTTGTGGAAAAAGCTTTGAATTAATGATAGATCTTTGTCAGTGATTGAGTCTGTGACATCAATTACAGTGTGTTCTTGTGTCTCAAAAATGCTCTCATTCTATCAATTTCCTATGACAGTCGTAAACCTACTGTAATTTAATAATAATACTGCATTTAGCTAATACTACACTTCTCATCTAGGAATCTTAATACTCGATATTGTATCCAGGGTTCTAAACAAAAGAAAGGACTTGATCCTGTTCTGATCCACTTCTATGAAGAGAGGGGAATGACCACTGCAAGTGATAAGGATCCACTGGTACAAGAAGCTGCAAAACAGTCCGGGAAAACTGTTAAGCAAGTTTTGGTAAGGAAATACCCATCTAGAGTGGACATCCAAACCCTTTTGTGTTCACTTGCCCACAGGCTTTGCATACAGAATCTGTGATAAACTACTGTTATCATCATTTCAGACTTTTATTGGCAACTACCGCCAGAAAAAAGGAGATCGTAAGAGAAAATCACTGGGAGATGAATCAAGCAAAACAGGAGCAAAAAAGGGTAATCTCACGGGTAAGAAAATTTATCTATCTACTTGTATTTATTCAGTTCATCATAACACAACTGGGTACCCCTTCAACTTATAAAAGTTGACAGGTTACATTAAGTGTGGTGGAAACAATTTAGGAGGACGACATTTCGTACAACACATGGGATCCATTGTGTTTAAAACCAAAATCACTGCTTACATGTACAGCTCAAAGTTAAGCCATTCAAAGGTCAAGATTCACTAAAGATGAAAAGTCGAAGTGAAGAAAATAAAAGAATTGAATAGAAACGACTGGAAACCGTGAAAGGAACCTGCCAGATTCTGTATGCAGACTTAGTGACGTCAACCTCTAATTTCTGCTGGCTTCCAGCTAGATTCTGGGACCTTCCCATTTGCCATATTTCCAGTTTCTGACCTTTTGAACTTCTCTCATTCTGCCACATGTTGTCAACCAACTTTGTTTGGACAAGTATAATTCTGCAAAAACCCACAGACAAAGGCCTCCAAAGTAATACTTCTGTACCTGTAGGGGAAGATATGAGGTGGAGTGGTGGTCATCGAGTCCATGCTCCCATTTAGCTAATCAACATTTTCTCTATTTTGACATTTTTGCTGGTGACATAAAAGTGACTTGAACATGCCAATCGGTGTATCCCTGGGTCATCGTATGATAGGCCATCATTGCATGAAGGTCAAGTATTTGTTTGTACTTTCTACAGCAGACAAGACAAACACACCAGGATCTGAGTTGCCTGTTCACGGTGCAGCAAGTGTCTCAGACCAGGGGCTGAATATTGCATCCTCTACAAAGGAAACATATCATGAGAGGAAAGAAAAGGTAGATTGGGTTGTAGAGTTTCTAACAAAAGAAATGTACTCCAAGGCTTTACTTCAAAGGCAACTGAATTATGTAGAAATACGTATAGTATATAAATTTTATTTGAAAATAGCCCAAAACACCTGATTATACAGTTCTAGGCAGAATTTGAGATGGCTTCATTTCCAGAGTTGTTCAGAATATTTTAACCTACATATGCCAAATTCAGTGCTTTTTAATTATCTAAAAGCACTGAATTTGGCACAATTTTCAGCTATGGCGCTAGACGATATGGTATACCTAAAACGAAATACTAGTTTAACTGGAAAGGCCGACATTTGCTCAAGAGCAAATGCAGCAGATTGCTTCACCACATCCACCGTACCAAAAATAGACCTATCCCCCTCCCGCACAAATGGACTGTTCCTAAATGATCCCTGTCCAAAATATGAAGTGTTCCAATAGTCTATGTCCCCATGCAGCAATAGAATCTTCCAACACCTTCTGCTGTTGGAACATGTAGAAGCCCGGTAGAACCCAAGTGTTCTAACTGTCAGTTGGGGATTTGGGTTTTCAAGCTACTTACAATTGCTGTTTTTACTCAAAATAAGGTAAATAGAAGTATTTCAAAGGGTTGAATCTTGATAGTGAACACTATAGTCTAAACATTTGGTACCACGCTACCTTTATGCTGAATTTAGGTCATTTGAAATGTGTTCAGCACCAACGACAGGTGTGGTTACATGTGTAAGGATGGTGTTCAGCACCAAGGACAGGTGTGTTTACATGTGTGAGGATGGTGTTCAGTACCAAGGACAGGTGTGTTTACATGTGTGAGGGTGGTGTTCAGCACCAAGGACAGGTGTGCGTACATGTGTAGGGATGGTGTTCAGCACCAAGGACAGGTGTGGTTACATGTGTGAGGGTGGTGTTCAGCACCAAGGACAGGTGTGGTTACATGTGTGAGGATGGTGTTCAGCACCAAGGACAGGTGTGCTTACATGTGTAGGGATGGTGTTCAGCACCAAGGACAGGTGTGGTTACATGTGTGAGGGTGGTGTTCAGCACCAAGGACAGGTGTGCTTACATGTGTGAGGATGTTGCTCAGCACCAAGGACAGGTGTGGTTACATGTGTGATGTAAATATTCTTATTTGCAAGATGATTGATTGTTCTCCTGTATCTAGTATGACCTGTTACCATTCTTAAAACCATCTGATGTGTTTAACAGCAAAGCACTGCTCCTCTGGGATCAGCTTGCAACAGCAGGCTTACAGGTATGATGCCAGCCTCACAAACAGCTGCTGCAGTTGTGAATGTACAGGACAATCAGGTAGGTATTTAAAATTCATTTTATGTGTAATTCTACATTTTTCACAATTTTGAATGCACATAGTCTCTTTATGACATTTTGATTACTTGATATGTATTGTCAGAAAATTATTGTTACTGTACTGTAACTGTAATATTGCCTTTTACATGTTGTATTAGTTTTGATATATCAGATGTCAACTATAGAATAAAGAATGTTAATCCAGTAAAATGTGTTTTATGATGCTATGTGTATAAGGATACATGTCTGTGGATTTATTACAGTAATAACTATTATTTCATCTTTATGGATTTGTTTGAGCCTTCAATCATGTAACCTTTTTGTATTATGTCTCTTACAATGCACCTCATGACCTCAATGCAAATCAGCCAGCAAACAATTTGAGTAAACAAAGACAAAAAAACAAACAAATAGTACAAAATGTGCAGGACAAGAAACAAATTTTGTACATGATAATTTGTTTTAGGGCCTTCAAACCATTGTAGACCAGCAGCGTCCCAAGGCTGTGGAAGCTTTGCAGCAAGGGACCAATAAGGACCACAAGAAAGAGGTTTGACACTGGCTCTTTAGCTTATTAAATCTAGCTAATTTCTATCACATAGAGAAAGGCATTCTTAACATCTTTTGGAAAAAAATCCTGTTGGCTGTGGTCCACACTTCATTGTCCTGCTAGAAAAGAGAAATTTCCCTTATATACAGATGGTAATACTCATATATTGCTTTAGTCACAGTGATTTTTTTTCAGGGAACTCCTAGACGAAAAAAAGGGTTTGATCCTGTACTTGTCCAGTTTTACGAAGAAGGAGGAATGACCACTGGAAGTGTTAATGATCCACTGGTACAAGAAGCTGCAAGACAGACCGGGAAGACTGTTAAGCAAGTTGTGGTAAGAATCCTATAATATGTACAATGTAGTTACTGTACCATTTTCTGGGGTTGCAGTAAATCTCATTGCATAACATCTGCTGTCTGTCTATTTTCATATAATGCAATGTTATCTTGATCAATTTCAAGGAACCCATTATTCCTTCTGATGTCATTTCAGAATTTCATAAGCAGCTACCGCAGAAGTAAGGGAGAGACTAAACACAAACCACCAGGAGTTGGCTCAGGTGACACAGCCACAAAGAGCAGCATCGGTAAGGCTACATATTTTTCATACCTGTATGTAGTCGGTATGTTCAGAACAGAAACAGGTGATGGTGTTAACTTGTGTTAGGATGTTGTTCAGCACCAAAGACAGACTGAAGTGTTTACCTGCGTGTGAATAGTGTTCAGCACAAAGGACAGTTGTATTTACATGTGTGGGAATGGTTTTCAGCACCAAGGACAGATGCGTTAACATGTATGTGGATAGTGTTCAGCAATAAGGACAGGTGTGTTAACATGTGTGAGGATGGTGTTCAGTACCAAGGACAGGTGTGTTTACATGTGTGAGGATGGTGTTCAGCAACATGGACAAGTGTGCTTACATGTATGTGGATAGTGTTCAGCAATAAGGACAGGTGTGTTTACATGTGTGAGGATGGTGTTCAGCACCAAGGACAGGTGTGTTTACATGTGTGAGGATGGTGTTCAGTACCAAGGACAGCTGTGTTTAGATGTGTGGGAATGGTGATCAACAAGGACAGGTGTGTTTACACGTGTGAGGATGGTGTTCAGTATCAAGAACAGGTGTGTTTACACGTGTAAGGATGGTGTTCAGTACCAAGGACAGATGTGTTTACATGTGTGAGGATTGGTGTTCAGCAACACGGACAAGTGTGCTTACATGTATGTGGATAGTGTTCAGCAATAAGGACAGGTGTGTTTACGTGTGTGTGGATAGTGTTCAGCACCAAGGACAGGTGTGTTTACATATCAATGTTCATACTAAATATTTCTGCAACAGCAAAGATGTCCACAGCAGATCCATCTCATCAGGGTGCAGGAAGTGCCACTGGGCAGGTGCAGACTGCAGGATCAGCTATGGATAAAGAAGATCGCGAAAAGGAAGGAAAAGGTATTCCTATGATTCATGTTACAAAAGGAGAAATCTGAGCTATCAGGAAAAGGAGAGATGCCCAGATATCCATGTATTCTGCCTAATCAGTCATGCAACTCATGTCAGTATTTTGTCACAAAAGCCTGTTGTATTAATAGTCTATAAAGTAGAATTCAACTCAGATCAATTAAGATCAGACCAAGCCTATCTAATATGTCACTACAAAAAAAATTGGAACAGTAGATAAACATTTACATGAGCAAGTTTTTAAAATATAATTACATGTACATTAAGATCAGACCAAGCCTATCTAATATGTCACTACAGGAGCTGTGTGAGGCTGCAAAGACTGGAGACACAGCAAAAGTAAAGCAGCTGTTAGATGAGGGAGTCAAGTCCCAGGTTACCAGTGGCTATATGGTTAGTGGTCTTGTGTTCTGTTATGGCACGATCTCATTTGTTGTAGGCCATTGTATGATTTTTAAGTCATACAATTTTCGTGCAGGCTGTGACAGAACCAGCTACGGGCAAGGATCTAAGACAGCCTTTTCAGTAAGGTCCACTCTGCTCTTACAATACTAAAGGACAAAATTGTGTTTTACAGAAAAGAACTCCACTGCACCTTTCAGCTGAGAATGACCATTATGACATTGCCACAGCTTTACTGAAAGCTGGTGCAGCTGTAAACGCACGAGATGTTGTGGTAGGTTGATTGATTTTTTGCACAACCACTTAGGACACTAATGTTGTAGTTGAGGACTGCGGTAGCAAACATGCTGCCAACCTTACTGGTAATACTGTAAATTGTTGAACTTTCATGATGGTTTGCTGTAGGAGGTGTTGTAACTTCACCGTGAAAACAATTTTGTCAAGCAATGAAGACATTTGCAGTGTCCAAAACTCCTACCGACACCCGAAAAATAAAACCAATGTCAAAGTTACGATTTACAGTTTTCTTCATTCCATCATGCTGCCACACTTAATTTGATAATACTTTAATTTGTATTCTCCTGTCTGTCACAGGAAAGAACTTCTCTGCATTTGGCAGCTGTAAATGGTCACCATAACCTTGCAACAGCTTTGTTGGGAGCTGGTGCAACTGTGAATGCACGTGATGATCAGGTACACAGTCATGTAGACTATTGGATTCGCTGCTTTGGTATATCATAAGAATGAAAGACCTTTATTGTACTTGTTAATAGTCTTACGAGCTTTGATGGCTAAATGTGTACTAGAGAGTATGTACAGGTTCGCTTCCTTAGCTGCAAATTGTAAGAACAAATGGACAACTTATCGTCTGTGGTTTATTTAGTTGCAGAGATAAAGATATTGATACTGTAATTTGCCTTGTAGCAATGGACTCCAGTGCACCTGGCAGCCATGAATGGCCACCATGAAACTGTAACAGCTTTACACAAGGCTGGAGCAGATGTAAATGCACGGGACAATGAGGTTGGTTGATTGGCTTGTCACCAGGAACAGGACAAAGTTCATAAATTTCTGTATCATTATACAGTTGATATTTCATATGTCCCTCATACAGTTGAATTAAAGCTACATGTTCGATATAAGGCTCGTGATAAAATGTCCTTCCATAAAAAAGATCCGATGTAGTTGTAGTAATTAAGTTCTAATCCTGTTAACAATGCAAGACTAGTGTTAAATGGCAGAGTGTTTAGGCTAGCAGACACAGGATCAAGAGTTCACTGGTGCAATCCCTTACAGTCCTGGCTGGACGTTGTATCTTATGGGAATTAGGCATTTTACACACTCAGCTTTTCTCACTCCATTTAGTTGTAAAATGGGTACCTCACTTCAGTTGAGGAGGTGAAAGGTGTTGGAAGTAGAGGAATGGGCTCTGTCTTCTAATACAATGAAGAAGACACAATGGATGAACATTACCCACTGTAACCTGTACAGCCTCAAACAAGGCTTTATCTTACCAATCATACCAAAGATCACCTGATGTCCTTTACAGGAAAAGATTCCCTTGCACCTGGCAGCTAATAATGGCTACCAGGAAACTGTAGCAGTTCTACTCAAAGCAGGCTCAAATGTCAACACAAAGAACAGAGAGGTAGGTACAATAAACCTTAACTCCATGATTCCACTGGTATCCTAGGACTGCCACATTAAAGAAAAAGCTGTTACAGTAAATTTAAAGAGATCTTACTAAATGCATCATTCGGTAATCACCAAGCTATCAACACTTCAGATATCCAAGAGCCCAAGACAATCTTGGGTAGAGCCTTGAATAACACGGTTATCATTAATTTTATATAACCTGTCAGAATGTACCTGACAGAGTTGACATTAAATGTCCCCTTAAGTTTGTTAAGTTAAGTTGATTAGACAGTTACTATTATAGTCATTCTTTCCTGAACATTTAAGATTATTCTGATGATGCAATTGTTATACAGCAAAGGACTTCCATGCATTTGGCAGCCACGAATGGGCACCATGAAACTGTGACTTTACTGGCAGCTGCACCAAATGCAGATGTGAATGCACAGGACAGTGAGGTAGGTAGATAACTTGAATAGTTACTTAAATCAACTCGTGCTGTACCATCATTTGAGGTTTCATAGTTTGGACAACAGTCAAGCTTCTAATATTGGAACCACCAATATCTGTGTATAGTTCATAATTCTGCCGTCATACTCAAGACCATCTTGTGGTTTACAGCAAATAACTCCCCTGCACCTGGCATCCCGGGATGGGGACTATGAAACTGCATTGGCTTTACTGACAGCTGGTGCAGATGCTAATGTAATGGACAAGCAGGTAAGTATAGTGCTTCACACATACCTGAAGTATTCGAAGAAGAGCACAATATTTTGTTTCATTCTAGTATGCACACATGCAGGTTTTTACTCAATGGTCAGTGTGTAACAAGCCCTTAACGCCACTTCAAGGTTGCATTTTAAGTTAAATTTACAGGAATAGTCCTGAAACAGCATCTTATCTGTCTATTGAGTCAGAGATATCTTGTCTGAGACAAACTTGACTCACTTACATTGAGAACTTGACTGACCCAATAGGAAAATCAGGAGCTATGAAGGCTGCTTGGGAACATTCTTAAATCCATTCAATAGACTGGTACAGAAATGGTTTTGATCTTAGTATTTTTTGCTGACTTTCTCTTTCATGTCCAAAAATGTTGTGTTTGTGACACAGAGAGGAAAATCAACCACCTGTTGTGTGTACGGTTCATATTTCCAACAGAAAAGTGTTCCTCTCCATGAAGCTGCTCTTCACGGCCACCCTAAGTGTGTGGAAGTCCTGCTGCAGCACGGGGCTGATATCGCTGTGAGGAACAAGGTGCACTGCTGGTCACACAAATCTTGGCCCTTACATTTATTTCAGCTTTGTTACAATACATTAAACATAACTTTCTGGGTGTAATTTTGTCACAATTATGTGTATTTTCAAGTGATGAATGTTATTTTTTTGTGGAAAATCTGGATATCCTTACAGGAAGGTTTATCGACTAAGGACATTGCTAAAGATAAGGACACCAGCAGCATTGATACGGGAAGAAAGGAAGAAGTCATCCTTGGCAGAAATGCAATACTAAAGCTTCTGCAAGAGGAGAGTTCTGTGAGTTGTTGCAACTTTCATCAAGTGGAATTGTTCGAGGACATTTCTGACAAATTACCTGGCTATGATAAAGAGATGGTCAAAGTTGATAGTTATTTCATTGAATAGTACATGTTAGAATCTTTAAAATAGATTGTCCTTAGATGGCCATCTGTTTATGACTTTGTGTTCTTCCTCACAGGTGTATTGAATGTATGAATGAATTAAATACAGTGTAAAAGCTAATTCAAGAGTTTGCTGCCATTCAAACTGTCTTCATTACTTTGTAGAGAATTTATAAACGTAACAAGGAAGCTCAAGCTGTCCTGATCCGGTACTACGAAGAAAAGGGGATGACCGTGGTGAAGAAGGATTGTCCAGTGATTAAAGCAGCAGCAGAGGAGAGTGGAAAATCTGTGGAGCAAGTTAGGGTAAATTAGCTGTTTGTGTGTGTATGTGTGTGTGTGTGCGTGTATGTGAGTGCATGCATGTGACACTGTGTGAATGTGTATATTAAATGACTGGTTCATCGAACAAAACTGGTTACAGTTTTGCAGAATGCCCTATCAGAGGAGGGTTATTTGATTCAATTTGATAGATATATGGATTGATAAATGGACAGACAGACAGAGACAGACAGACAGACAGATACATGTAGCCACAGGGTTCTTCAACATGCTCAATGTGTGGCTCTCAAATACATGTATCAAGTAGCATTATGAAAATTTAACTAATCCTGCAAACAACTAAGAAGTTTGATGGGCAACACCTCTAAGTCAGGAGAATTGAGTGTTGATTTATGCATACGTGCTAACGTGGACCAATTACTGGCAAACTGTTGTCATAGCTTGGGATCCCGGGATGATTGGTTTCCATTGAGACAGAAAAAAAGAGCTCTTGTTGCACATGTTGTCATAGCAATAAAGCATGTGGGAATATACAAGTCTTAGAAGACTTATAGATCAAACAGCATGCATCTGTATTATTATTCTCTAAACCTCTAGAATTTCATCAACTATTACAAGAGAAAGGCTAGCAGTGGGAAGAGACCAGCTGATGAACCGGCTGGTAGTCAGAGTGACAGAGTGGCTAAGGAAAGCAGAGGTAAGGGAGATCATGTACTTTACAGAGAACCCTTGGAAAAGGGGATTAGGTAGAATGGTGACTATCTACATGTAGATCATGACCAGTTAAACATTTCATGCAGGAGTTCAACAGAACTTTGATCCATTTAGTTTTCAGCTTTAATGTATGTGTAAGGATAATACAATGTGTATATATATAGAGAGAGACTGCATGACATAGTATATGTTTTAAAAAATGATGCACCTGGTAGGACTTTAATCATGTACACTAACCTGTTTATATATATGACCTCTTCCCACATGACCTCAATGAAAAGTGGCCAGCCTTTGTCTTGTGTGCTTACCTGTGTGTGGTTGGTATGTTCAGGTTTGTTTACATGTTAGGATGGTGTTCAGCACCAAGGACAGGTGTGTTTACATGTGTGAGGATGGTGTTCAGTACCAAGGACAGCTGTGTTTAGATGTGTGGGAATGGTGATCAACAAGGACAGGTGTGTTTACACGTGTGAGGATGGTGTTCAGTATCAAGAACAGGTGTGTTTACACGTGTGAGGATGGTGTTCAGTACCAAGGACAGATGTGTTTACATGTGTGAGAATGATGTTCAATGACATGACGAATATTTCTGCAACAGAAAAGATGTCCACAGCAGATCCATCTGATCAGGGTGCAGGAAGTTCCACTTGGCAGGTTCAGACTGCAGGATCAGCTATTGATAAAGAAGAGCACGAAAGGAAGGAAAAGGTATTCCTATGATTCATGTTACAAAACGAGAAATCTGAGCTATTGGGAAAAAAAGAGAGATACCCAGATATCCATGTACTTCTGCCTAATCAGTCATACAACCCTTGTCAATATTTTGTCTGAAAAGCCTGTTGTAGTTTATGAAGAAGAATTCAACTTCATATCACAACAGTTGGCTTTATTGTTTGTTCCATTCCAACATACAGTCCAAAAATAACTGTCAACAATAGAAAATAGATCAGTATTCAGACAAGCGAAAGTAGAAGTAAGAAAAAAATCAAAATAGTAGATAATATAATTTACATGAGCAAGTGTTTGAAATATAATTACATGTACATTAAGAGCAGATCAAGCCTATCTAATATGTCACTACAGGAGCTGTGTGAGGCTGCAAAGACTGGAGACACAGCAAAAGTAAAGCAGCTGTTAGATGAGGGAGTCAACTCCCAGGCTACCAGTGGCTATATGGTTAGTGATCTTGTGTTCTGTTATGGCATGGTCACATTGTAATTTTCAAGCTGGCTGTGACAGAACCAGCTACTGGCAAGGATCTAAGATAACAAGACAGGTGAAGTTTGTACAGCACAAATATACCCCCGATTTACAAATGCACAATGATTGCGGTGTGGCAAATTTGACCGGGTTTTTAACTGTAGCCTATAGCTAAGATTTTTGAGAAAGTTGATTTTTAGACAAAAGCGAAGAGTTCCATATAACAGAAAGTGATAGGCTGATGCTGGTGGGGTAATCGTGTTGCGCAATCATGGATTCTGGCTAGCTGGTTTGTAATGTAACTTTATTTGTTTTGTAAACAGTACTGTAGTGATTCATTAATAACATATACATTGTATGCCAATCATGTAGGTTTGATTTTTATGCTTAGCTGTCTTTGACTAACTACAACAACTTTAGCCCATGAGGTCAAGAACATGCAAAGAAAGATCACAATGAGGAGCAATCCGACAGATTTTCCTGTCCTCATCTTTCGGTTCAGAGTTTCATTCATAGAGCAAATTATTATAATGATTTTTAGATTCATACGATATCCAATTTAGTTTGATCCATTAACTGGTTACATTATCAGAAATATGGAGATTACATCATTCCACTCTGCTCTTACAATACTAAAGACCAACATTTTGTTTTACAGAAAAGAACTCCACTGCACCTTTCAGCTGAGAATGACCATTATGACATTGCCACAGCTTTACTGAAAGCTGGTGCAGCTGTAAACGCACGAGATGTTGTGGTAAGTTGATAGATTTTTTGCACAACCTCGTACACATGTAGGACTCTGATGTGGTAGTTGAGGAGGACTGAGGTGCCACCACTACCACAGCTATGCTGCCAACCTTACTGATACTACTCTAAATCGTTAAACATTTCATATTAGTCAATTGGTTTTGTTTGGGGTAGGACTCTGGGAAAGGAAAATTTTCATTGTGTTGTAAATTCACCGTCAAACAATTCTGTCAAGCAATGAAGACATTTGCAGTGTTAAAAACTCCTACCGACACCCTCAAAATAAAACCAGTGTGAAAGTGTCACAATTTACAGTTTCCTTCATTCCATCATGTTGCCAAATTGATAATACATGATTGCATTCTCCTGTCTGTCACAGGAAAGAACTGCTCTACACTTGGCAGCTGTAAATGGTCACCATAACCTTGCAACAGCTTTGTTGAGAGCTGGTGCAACTGTGAATGCGCCTGCTGATCAGGTACATACTCTTACATGTACATGTAGACTATTGCATTAGCTGCTGTGGTGTATAATAATTGAATAAAAGACCTTGCATTTATTGTATATATATTATGGCTAATGTATACTAGAGAGTATGATTATACAGGTTTCAAACTTCTTGCTTCCTAAGACAGCTGTAAATAAGTCTTAGAACAAATGGCCAGCTTATAGTAAGTGGTTTATGTAGTTGTATAATTGTTGATACTGCGCCATTATGTATTAAGAATTTGTAATTTGCCTTGTAGCAAAGGACTCCAGTGCACCTTGCAGCCATGAATGGCCACCATGAAACTGTAACAACTTTACACAAGGCTGGAGCAGATGTAAATGCACGGGACAATGAGGTTGGTTGATTGGCTTGTCATCAGGAACAGGACAAAATTCACACAATACTGTATTACTATTGATATTTTATACATCCCTCGTAGAGTTGAATTAAAGCTGCATGTATTTATTGATGAGGTTCTATCAGGCTCTTGATAGAACGTCCTTCCATCAAAAATGATCCAACATGGAGTAATTAAGTTATAATCCTGTAAACAATGCAAGACTATAGTCAAATGTTGGTCAGGAGTGTTTAGGCTAGCAGACACAGGATCAAGAGTTCACGGGTTCAAACCCTACACAGTCCTGGCTGGACATTGTTAGGATCTATGGGAAAGGCACTTTACACAGCTTTCCTCACTCCATTCAGTTGTAACATGGGTACCTCACTTCAGTTGAGGAGGTGAAAGGTGTTGGAAGTAGAAGGATGGATTTTGTCTTCTAATACCATGAAGACAGAGTTCATACACAATGGTGTGAACATTACCCACTGTAACCTGTACGGCCTCCAAGGCTTTATCTTAACAACCATACCAAAGATCACCTAATGTGCTTATTACAGGAAAAGATTCCCTTGCACCTGGCAGCTAATAACGGCTACCAGGAAACTGTAGCAGTTCTACTCAAAGCAGGCTCAAATGTAAACACAAAGAACAACAAGGTAGGTACAATAGGTAACCTTAACTCCATGATTCCACTGGTATCCTAGGACTGCCACATTAAAGAAAGAAATTGTTACAATCAATCTAAAGAGATCTACTAAATGCATAAGTTGGGAATCGCCGAGCTATCAACACTTAAGATATCCGAATGGCATAAGACATTCTTGAGTAGCCTTGATAGCACGATTATCATGATAATTATATATAACCTGTCAGTACAATGTACCTGACAGAGTTGACATTAAATGTCCCCTTAAGTTTGTTAAGTTGATTGAATAGACAGTGACTTATAAGTCATTCTTTCCTGAACATTTAAGATTATTCTGATGATGCAATTGTTATACAGCAAAGGACTTCCATGCATTTGGCAGCCACGAATGGGCACCATGAAACTGTGACTTTACTGGCAGCTGCACAAAATGCAGACGTGAATGCACAGGACAGTGAGGTTGATAACTGTTACAATTAGTAACTCGTGCTGTACCATCATTTGAGGTTTCATACTTTGGACAACAGTCATTGACAAGCTTCTAATATTGGAACCACCAATATCTGTGTATTCATAATTCTGCCGTCATACTCAAGACCATCTTGTGGTTTACAGCAAATAACTCCCCTGCACCTGGCATCCCGGAATGGGGACTATAAAACTGCATTGGCTTTACTGACAGCTGGTGCAGATGCTAATGTAAAGGACAAGCAGGTAAGAATAGCGCTTCACACATACCTGAAGTATTCGAAGAAGAGCACAATATTTTGTTTCATTCTAGTATGCACACATGCAGGTTTTTACTCAATGGTCAGTGTGTAACAATGCCACTTCAGGGTTGCATTTAAAGTTAAATTAAACTTTGAATAGTCCTGAAACAGCATATTATCTGTCTATTGAGTCACAAACATCTTGTCTGAGACAAATTCGACTCACTTACATTGAGGACTTAACTGACCCAATAGGAAAAGCAGGAGGTATGAAGGCTGCTTGGGAACATTGTCTTAAATCCATTTAGACTGGTACAGAAATGGTTTTGATGAGTGTTTTCTGCTTTGATCTTTCTCTTTCCTGTCCAAAAATGTTGCGTTTGTAACACAGAGAGGAAAATCAACCACCTGTTGTGTGTACGGTTCATATTTCCAACAGGAAAGCGTTCCTCTCCATGAAGCTGCTCTTCACGGCCACCCTAAATGTGTGGAAGTCCTGCTGCAGCACGGGGCTGATATCGCTGTGAGGAACAAGGTGCACTGCTGGTCACACAAATCTTGGCCCTTACATTTATTTCAGCTTTGTTACAATACATTAAACATGACTTTCTGGGTGTAATTTTGTCACAATTATGACTGTATTTTCAAGTGATGAATGTTATTTTTTTGTGGAAAATCTGGACATCTTAACAGGAAGGTTTATCGACTAAGGACATTGCTAAAGATAAGGACACCAGCAGCATTGATACGGGAAAAAAGGAAGAAGTCATCCTTGGCAGAAAGGCAATACTAAAGCTTCTGCAAGAGGAGAGTTCTGTGAGTTGTTGCAACTTTCATCAAGTGGAATTGTTCGAGGACATTTCTGACAAATTACCTGGCTATGATGAAGAGATGGTCAAAGTTGATAGTTATTTCATTGAATAATTATTATGTTTCTTAGAATCTTTAAAATAGATTGTCCTTAGATGGCCATCTGTTTATGACTTTGTGTTCTCAGGTGTATTGAAGGTATGAAATAAATACAGTTTAGAATCTAATTTTAGAGTTTGCTTCCATTCACACTTGTCTTTATTACTTTGTAGAGAATTTCTAACCGTAATAAGGAGGCTCAAGCTGTCCTGATCCGGTACTATGAAGAAAAGGGGATGACCGTGGTGAAGAAGGATTGTCCACTGATTATAGCAGCAGCAGAGGAGAGTGGAAAATCTGTGGAGCAAGTTAGGGTAAATTAGCTGTTTGTGACATGTGCAAGGTGTGGCTCTCAAATGCATATATCAAGTAGTATTAATAATAATTATGATGATTGCACTAATCTGGCAAACAAAAGGAGTTTAATGGCCAACCTCTAGAATTGGCAGTGTTGATTTAAAAATTGTGTACAAACAATTGTCGTCATACTTTGGGATCCCAGAATGACTGGTTTCCATCAATTTGAGACATAGAATATGAGCTCATATTGGAGTTATTGTCATAGCGATAAAGAATCCCCAGTATGGCCATAAGTTCTTGGGTAGGATCGATGCCCAACCAGCCCACTGATGACAGTGAGAGAATACACCTGGCACTAATTGTGTATGTGGGAATATACAAAAATAGATAAAACAGCATGAATCTGTATTATTTCTTATCTAAACCTCTAGAATTTCATCAGCAATAGAAAGAAACGGGCTAGCAGTGGGAAGAGACCAGCTGATGAACCGGCTGGTAGTCTGAGTGACACGGTAGCTAAGGAAAGCAAAGGTAAGGGACAGAGAACCCTTGGAAAAGGGGATTAGGTAGAATGGTGACTAACTACATGTACATCATGACCAGTTATTATCAATAAACGTTTCATATTGGAGTTCAACAGAACTTTGATCTATTTAGTTTTCAGCTTTAATGTATGTGTAAGGATATATCTTACCTTGACTTCTTCCCACATGACCTCAATGAAAAGCGTCCAGCCTTTGTCTCTTCAATACCAGTAAATACATAATAGTAATCTTTCAGACATTACGAAAATCAACCATCAATCACACTCTTTCAATGCTCTTTATTTAGTATAATTTAAGATGTTATGATCTTGAGTGCAGATGGTGCCAAGAAACCTAGGACTCAGGCACGTGTGGAGGATGCAGAAAAACCTGGCTGCTCATTTCAGGGGATAGAGACGTTAATGGAGGGCTCAATCCAAGGTAAAATTGGTTTGACAGGCAAATAGGTAACTTTGTCTTGTAAGATGTGGGTTATTCAATCGCAGACCATCAAAAACTTTCCAAATGGTACATACTGTGCCACTATGTTGTTATCGTTGAGTTGACTAATGATGATTTAAAAAGTTGTAATATTATATTTAGTAACTAGTACTTGTTACCAGGTATGTTGACTTGACCCTTAAGGTCATGATGCTAGAGGTCACCCCGTGATTGAGTGATTCAGGTTCAACTTGGTAATGCTTTGAGTTAAAGAACAGTCTATCTTGTAATAATTATATTTATATAATAATGTTCTCTTGTTAAATAAACAAATAACAATAAACAATAATTGTTTTTCATAGATGGGGCATCAGGAAGCAGCACTGACGTCACCATCTCCACACAAACTTTGCAGTCAAAACAAGGTGATAATGTTTTCTTTCTATCATTTTGCATGGAAAGTAGTAAAAGTAACATGATTAAGATTATTTCTCTACAACTACATGCCTGAAGCTATAAGTAACGTTACATTGTACATGTAACATACATGTACATAAAATGTTCATCAACATAATGATAATTAAGAACTCATTCCTATATTCCTATACTATATTCTAAAATATACATCAAGCTACTTTTGTTAAGTTCGAGGATCTGTTTCTTTAGGCAGTGGTAGATGAATTTACCCAGTTTTTTTTATTCTATGATATGTGGGTTCCTTGATTCTAAGTATTTATAGTAAAATTATTTTCTCATGGTCACAAAGATCCACAAACAGCCTCAAATGTAAATCTATCAGGTATGAATTAGCAAATTAGCAAATATCAATGAAGTGTTTATAATCTGATGTTAACTCTTTTTGTTCACACAGACATTTCCACTTCAGCGGCAATTTCTGTGCTGCTGGTAAATGATGAGTATGGTACAGCTCATGGAGGTGTTTCCACCATGAGTCGTGGAGTGGCACGGCTACTGAGGAAGCACGGCGCCCAAGTTTATGCTACAGCTCTGAAAGTAACTGAGGATGACAAAAGGTCTGCCAAAAGGGATGGTGTGGAATTGCTTCTGCCTGAAGTCCACAGTGATATGCCACAGCCATGTTTGGATTGGTTGAACCATTACCACATGGTTCACTACCCAAACATACCAAGGACCCTACAGTATGTCGTCGGCCATGCAGATGTTACAAGCAAGGCTGCAAAAAGGATCAAAGAACAAAGCTGCCAGGAAGCAAAGTTGGTCCTCTTCAACCACGAGATGCCAGAAGACACAGCGTACTTCAAGACAACTAAGAAAGCGATGCAAGCACCAGACAAGGAAAGCAGAATATTGGAAGATGCAAAGTCTGCTGATGCCGTGTTCTCGGTGGGGCCCAAGATCTACAGTTACTTCGAAACAAATTACAAGTCACTTGAAGAGGCTGGGCCGAGGCACTACCTCTTTCTTCCCAGGGCATCCAAAGTGTTTGAAAACACAAATGCCAGGCCAGGAGGAGGACAGAAGGTGGTACTGTCCTTTGGAAGGGTGAGTGAAGTGGTGGTGCAAAAGGGCCATGACTTGGCAGCTCGGTCCTTGGGGTATGTACCAGAGCACATATTGAGGAACCTGAGCTGGGTTGTGCGTGGGGTCCGAAAAGATGAAGATGATTGGGAAAAGAGCCGGAAAATTCTGGAGAAGAAGATGCAGAAGCGCATTATCAAACCCACCTTTCGTCCCTTTGGCACCCAGGAGGACATCGCCAATGACATCAAACGTGCTCATCTGGTCCTGATGACATCACGCTCAGAGCCGTTTGGGCTGGTAGGGCTGGAGGCCATTGCAGCAGGCATCCCTGTTCTCATCTCTGACCAGTCAGGGCTGGCAGACATGATCAAGGACTTGAGCAAGAAATACAAGTCCCTCGAAGACCTGAGGCACAGGATCGTCAAAACCAATGTGGAGGAGTCCGCGGTGGAGGAAACTGCAAGAAGATGGGCAGACAAGATCACAGATACCCTGGAATACTCCGAAGGGGAGTTTGAGAAAGCTGCAGAGTTCAAAAAGAAGCTCTTGGAGTCCAAGTACTGGGAAGAATCCAACAACGATCTGCTTCGTGTCTGCGGATTGATTGAGTGAATTTAGATCACTTCTGATCTAGATTGAGAGAGCCTAGGTCAGTTCTGGATCTAGATTGAGAAAGTCTTAGACCATTTCTGCATCACAAGAGAATTCAGGTGTAATCTGTCAGTTCCCAATTCTATGAGACAGCAATCACTGAGTGACCGAAAATTTGTGAAATACACTAGATTTCCAGGGAACCTGCAAATGTCTGATTTAGAATGTACCATGTAAATGTATGATTTAAAGACAATGTAAGCAGGGCAAAACTGCCATTTGCATTTTGTAAGGAGTATTTTGTTCTTTTCTGTAAGGAATATGTTAAATGGTTTCACACTTAAGTCTTACCTTAGAAGAAGCTTTTGCACTGAACACCAAATGTAAAATCGCAGTAAGTCTTGTACGTCCCAGACAATTAATAAATATGTAAAACCATTCCTTTGATGATTTATAAGACAACAAACGCCTGTCACCTTGATGTCACTGTTTAATGTTTGTATATGTACTTCAGAAGTGTTTCCAACACTCATCCTGCACTGTAGTCATTACTGTTATTTTTTGTGAATAAAGGAAGGGGGTACTCTGAGAGAGGACAGTGGTGAGAAAGGAGTCACAGGTAGAAGTTCTCAGAAGCGAGCCTCCTGTGTGTTTGTACCGGCCACGCCTGTGTCCAGTGTACTTCATAGTCCTGTAGTCAGTCCCTCCAGCAGCATCACAAAGAATCCTGGTTCTAAAACAACAACTGGCCCTGCTTATCAACAACAAACACACAAAAGTGTTAAAATATATGTTATGTATAACGTTATGACGTTATGTTCATAATTTTGTGTAATCTAGCTTTTAGTATGTGATATTTTTATTTGACGTGATGGTGTGTATTTCATTTGTTGGATGGCTACTTGCCTGACTAACATTTTTTATCACAGACAATATTTACCAATTCTTACCTACATTTGTCTAATTGGAATAATGTTGACTTTATCAGAATTTTCTGAATTTCTTCTTATGGAAACTTCAAAAGATGTCGATGTCATTGATGATGATCAGAAACATTTCCCACAAGCTAGTATGTGCGCATCAGTATTGAGTAATAAGGGTGTGGTAGTATAGAAACTTCAAAAGCTATAGAATATTTTTGTTTTTTTATACCTTTCTGTTGATATCTGATAGCTACGGAATAGGAGGTAGGACAATTGTGTCCTCCCACCAGCAACACATCTGGTGTGAATTAAGATCAATAAAGGACAGGGACCACGTGTCCCTAAATCAGTCTTGCCCAAGTCGTGGTCGAGTGTGGACATCATTATAGCAGCCTTCAGTATACCTCTCTCTCTCTCTCTCTCTCTTATATATATATATATATATATATATATATATAGAGAGAGAGAGATATAGATATATATATATAGAGAGAGACAGAGAGAGATACATAGATATAGATAACACCTGTGTCACCATCAGTTTTACCATATACATGTATCAGTAAGTATACATTACTGTAGTGGAACATCATTACTATGTACATGTATACATGAATTAATGAATGTATAAGGAACTTCATTGCACAGAATTTGTACGTAAACACAACAGTTTGTTAAAGTAAAGTTGAAGTACACAATGTACATTACTTTAGGCCAAGATTTTCGAGACAGCGGGCTTTTGGGCAGAAAATTTTACGGCAGCGGGATGCTATCGGGAATTCTCTTGACACGGCGTTCCCCGCTGTCGCCAGGACTGCTGTCGTCAGTACAGCTTTCTTGAAAATCGGTATCTAAAGTGGACCTTAGTCAGATGTTATCCATTATTCGTGTAAAAATACCTTCCTGGATTCCAAGGCACAACAACAGTGAAATACAATGATCTACAAACTACAAAGTACAGAACATTATAGATAATAACGACTGTTACTGAAATAGTTATAACAACATATGTCAGAAGACAAATACGAAAATTCAGGCGGTGTTATTGGTGTAATTCACATTTGTAAAAATTCGACAGCTAGTGATGATGACTATTTCAGATCTTCGATAGTTTCTGCAATACTTTCAAACTTAACTACAACATTTTCAAACTAAAATTGTATCTACTTTTCTTTGAATGACGAAACATAGTTCTCTGTTATTGGGCAATAATTAGTAAGGACAATAACGGTTACTACACAGTGTGGACTGTTAAACCTAACATCTGAACTTTTTTGTGTAGAAATGTTACAAATACGCTATGGGAGGCTCATACACTTTTAATTCCCCATAATTACCTTTCCCATAACTGTAAGTCACCAAACAATAATTTTGGTAAGTGCACAAGTTAAAAATTTAGATAGCTTTACGTTCTCTTAGAAGTGTAACTTGATAGGGTCAGAATTAGATAAAGGCTGGTTTTTCAAGTAGCGTAAGATCTTCATGTTGTGTCCTCCTCACACAGTACTGCAGCAACAGCTTTGACCCGCAAGTCCCGATAACCCAAAAACTACTACATACATACAAATTACTATATCTCAACCTGCCTAATGTTACAAAAGAATCGTACGCTACTTAATATAAAATTAATTTAAGCTTAAAATTGTAAGTCGCCAAATAACTTTGGCAAATATGCAGGCCACTGTTAAAAGTTTGGAAATGTCACTTTGTATAGTTATGATTAAACTCTGTGATTACTCATCAGACAAGTACTTCTAAGTGTAATTTGTGACCTCCTGGCCCACGACGACATCAGTAAACTTTCAAGCCTCCACAACCCCCAAACTACTAAATAACATCATGGTTCATTTGTTCATTGCGAAATTAACAACAGTCGAAATATCCAGCAGACCTCTCAACGGTCTCTATTAGCACTAGGTTTAGGTATCTTAATGATCTTTTAATGGTCTTCTAATGATCTCGTCTTCTAATGATCTTTGACTGATCTGCAAGATCGTTAATACTGGTAGTCTTTTAGTGATCTTTAAGACCAATCATTATAATATTGTTTGTAAATGACTGTTCACCAACAGTCTTCTTCGTGTGAAAATGTGGATTTACTCATGGTGTTTCAACTTTTGCGTGCACAGAATTTACCTGCGACTCACTCGGCCCTGTGCCATAAGATACATTTCCAGAACCCGAGGATTTAGTGATGGCCATAGACTGAACCTGTCTTGTCTTAACATTCTGACTGTCAATAGTCATAATGGTGATTATGACCACTGGTTAGAGTATTTTTGATTCAATACTAATGATGGCCCGAGACTGGCCCTGCCCTGTCTTAATACATGCTGGTTGTCAATATCTTCATACTGGTGATCATAATCATGGGTCATTGCAGAAGATGTCTGATTATGACCGCTGGTAGATAAATGGGGCCTTTGGTAGAGTTCCCACACGTTTGTACATAGGATTTGGCTGTAAGCTACAAACTGTAGCTACTAGCTCGATCGCGAGCTCGTTGGTGTGGCATAGATCTCCAAAATGTAGAGATCGGGTGTTCGTTTGAGACTGGCCCCGCCCTATCTGATAAAACATGCTTGTCAATATCTTCACACTGGTCTGTCATCATGACCACTGCCACTGGTCATCACAGAAACTGTTTGTGCCGCTACCAACGACACTGGGATTATAGTCCTAAAGGAGGACGCCTGGTCCTGTGCCTCATGTACCCCACTGTGAGAAAGACTGCCGGAAAACAGGACAATACCAAGAAGTACTGGAGCACTGATAGAGGCAAAGGGATCAGACGGGAACTGTCCGTGTTGCTATCTGCGTTGCCAAAAGAAAAAGATGTTGGTACTTCAGATGAAGTGAATAAAGTTCGGATATGTCTGGACATAAAGAGAACTGCGGTGTTTTTTATGAAGAAAGGCGCGGTGCTTTCTTGGACGAAAAGAAGAAGTGCGGTTCTTGTTAGACGAAGAGAAGAAATTTAAAAAGTGTCGTACTTTTTTTATGAAGAAAAGTGCGGTTCTTATTGGACGAAGAGGAGAAAAGTGCGGTGCTTTTTTTATGAAGAAAAGTGCAGTTCTTGCTGGATGAAGAGAAGAAAAGTGCGGTGCCTTTTTGGGTGAAGAGAGACAAGTGATCATGCCAAAATATGAGCTGCATCGCCGACTTGCCGGAGGTACATGTACATGTCTCTTGATCCTGAGTCAGAAAAATACAACCACGTTCACTAAATCCTGAGGTATCCAAGTAATAAGATACCCTCACCGACGTAAGTTACTAACCTAGGTGATGCTAGACATTAATAGATGACAATCATATAAATCAGGACCCAATTTGCCATATCCATGAGGAAACTATAAGAATCTGCTGCGTTCAATGATAGGACTACTTAGATTTGTGACGTGTGTAATTGATCGAGAACGAGGGAAATATGAACACCTAATTTGCATACTTAATGAGAAAATGCTATAATTCCATGGTAACTGCCTTTCAAAACTTTTAACGTAGACGCTAGGAAATATAGCACACAGACGACAAGTCACGCTGCATGGATAATTTGCTCTGAAACTGCCACGCCCATCACGCCCGCCTTTAACAATTTAAATGTGGCGCGTTTTTGCACACGGCCCGTAGGGAAGGGTCATGTCAGTCAGCCACTTCCTGGACGGGAGGCAAGGACCGCGGGACGATCGTCTGCTCCCTGCGGCATGGGAAAATAACCTCCCCGGGTCTCCTACCAACCCCTACTTCCCTGCTTTGCTTGGATAGAATGTTCCTGCAACGCTAAGTTTTACCCTGCGACTATTTGCTTGCTAGGAGAGTTGAAGAGAAGCATCGCCAATGGAGGACCTGATCTGTGAGTACCGCTCCATCACATACACTCCACCCTGCCCCCGTATCAAAAACACTCCCTCACATTCCTGCAATATTTGCGTCTTCATCGATTTTAATTCGTGACCAGTGGATGAACAACACGACTTTCAGCTCGTCAACTGGATCTGTACAGCATGTAGTCTCCGTTATGGCTGCTTTCTGTGCACATTTCGGGCACACGGTGAAGTTTAACTGCAAATAGCCGAGTTCAGGGTTCGGGGCGAGTGATTTGTTACCATTTCGTCAACATGGCGTGCACGAAAACACGACAGTCCTCCGGAATAACACTACTCTCGACATGGACAGCAAGAACAGTTTATGGACGTTGTCAGACACATGTTACTATGTGTTACTGTGTGTTATGTCTGCATGGGTGTTTCGGGCGGCCTGTGCGTGGTACGGCCCTACCCTGATATTTTGCCCCTTGTGTGGTGGTTCTCTGTCACCACCTAGCCCAAGGAAAATACCTTATAAATCGGAACCGGAAACATCCAGATTTATTTGATCTGCTACATTCAAAGTAGGTCATTCAGTTTTTCGTATTCCTAATTTATCTTCCTCCAATTCATATTCCTGATTTGGGGGCTTAGAATATGGATTTGCAGAGGTAACGGTGTCTGGGATAACAGATGATTTATTTATTTTTTCTGGCAAAATCACTGGAAAACGGAACTCCATAAACATGTAACGTTAGTGCTAGCCAGGAGAATACTAGTACACATGTAGTAAATGGACCAGAGCCTCGAGACTTTAAAGCACCAAATGAGCAATGTGAAGGAGTCACCCTTAATATGATTGTTACATCAGTCTTAATTACATTAAGCCAGGGAAGGGTAATTGTTCTTTAAGGGCGTAATTTATTTGTTTTCGGTAAATTTTATTGTTTGTCTCAAATCATGTTTGTTTTGTAACATGTGATCTGAAACTAATGTAACATTATATCACAGTTAACAGTTCATTTGAACATTGGAACTAGATTCATACGCATTTCTTGGAAATCACTAGCCGTGACACATTTGACAGAATACAGTAACAAGTAGAATGAATTTGTATGCTTCACCATTCAGTTTGAATTTTGTAATATTGTTTAAGTTTCCTAGTACACATTTGTTCATGTGTACTAGTATGTATCCTGCAAAAGTTGTATATAACGCTATAGTGACAATAAATTCATCCCAATTTATTCAGATATTTTCCATACATCGGAGTTATAATAGGGTACAATCTGATCCTATATTATATTTCAAACTAATGTTTTGAGGTATAACGTTACATTTTCCTGGAGCGATTTTTTAAATTTTTCATTGTTCCACTCATTCTGCAGTAATGACATAATTTTCTTTGTTTGATATGCAAAAGGCGATCAGATGAGAGCATGCGGTAAGTCCCTGGGGTAGCAGACCTTAATGGCTTCACATCACTGAGTTTTATGCCTGGGTTGACAATGACTCATTTTAGACCAGAAGGTCAAATATGGCACTAAGCCCACACAGGAACTGTACTGTTATTACCTTGATTTTACACACGGTAACAGATGTAATATTGCATTTGCAAATCCAGGGAAGGACAATATGTAGAGATTTTTTAATCCAAGTTTTATTATTGCTAGGCACGTCATACTAGAAAACTTCAAATTTCTAGTAATATGGAAACTATGGGCAAAGAACTGATTTGATCTAGTATGTGACATGTGTAATCCCTGAAGGTAACATACTTAAGTACTGTAAATTTTGAAGCTTTTGCAGCACAGTATTCATTGTGATCTCGACTGAAAATGTCTTCCTTGTATGACTGCTGTACTAGATAATTACATGTATTTCAAAAGTGAATCTAAAGCACTGAAAACATCCATTTCCCTCCTAAAGCTGAATAACACTACTGTGAAATTATCATGATTTACAGTATATAGTTTGTGTACACTGTGTTATTTTGAGATGGAGGGTCTAACACAATGTAAGGTCATACCAGTGCAGTTCTGAAGATGGAAGAATTCATTGTCGTACTCCAATACTTGTAGTTGTTCTGTCATGTTTGCTGTATGAATCAGCACTTGTCACCCCTCCACCTTACTACCCAGGTTAACACAGTAGTCACAGTGGCTTGTCATCCCTGACCAGATTTCATGCCTAGTCTAGAGTTAAGCCTTTGTGTACACATAGGGTAGGGCTTACATTGTGTTGTTGTAAGGGATGGGTTTGCAGTCTCTGCCATGACAAGTCCCAGTAAAACAGGCTTTGAAAGATTGATGCCATCACAACAGTGTCCATATCCCTGCCAAGCTTTGGCATGAAATGTAATGTTCTAACCCTTACCAGTTGTACACTGTACCTGATACCTGTACAAACATGGTGCGGGGTCTGTCATATATTATGATATAAGATTTTGTTAGTCCAATCTACAACAGAATGCAGGTTGGACTGCCTGGACAAAATAGTGACTAGCATAGTGACTACCTGGACAAAATATTTTCAGGGGTGCACAGATCTTTCTATTTTGCCACACTGCCTTCCAGTTCTTTCCTTGATTGCAGCTCTGCACAAGGCATAATGATGATGATGTAGATGTTACAACTTACACTGTGTTCTGTAGCTCAGTGTAGTTGTTGAAACAACCTCTGGCTACAGCCAGCCTTTAATCGATCCCTGCAGGTGCCATTATCTCGACTCTCAGTCTCAGAGTTTTGTTTCACAAGCCATAGTTAGGTAGAAATGCCAAGTGAAATAATGCAGAGAATTGGGGAATTTAGCTTGATAGAAAAGCAGTGAGCCCACCAAAAGCAAGAGTACAATACTGATCACGCTGTAATTGTGTCTGACATGCTAGCTCAAAATATCTCTCCGCAATCACAAAGCTCTCCACGCATGTCAGTAGCTGATCACTGTGGATGAACTTGGACCACACGCAAGGTTTACTGTGAATCTCCTATTAACTGCATGGTTTGCTGTCAAAGAAACATGGTATGCTGCATTTCAGGCTGCTGATCTGGTATGGGTGTCTAGTGAATTAAAGACCATTAACAGAATCACACAGGTTTAACTGATGGTGACCTGTCAAACTTAACAGCCGTTATGTAACATCAATTAACCAGTACAACGTTCAGAAATAACATTTCCCATTTAGTATTATATGGTCATTGCTTACATGTACTATTGTGAGTATACTAGGACTAAAAGCAGAAATTAGAATTCGTACACCAAGGAACGATAGCTCTACATACAGTAACTTTGTTATCTTTGCTTAGAAGGTTAACGTTATATCATTTGTAATGTTTGTACGAATATTTGTTTAGATGTGGTTTAGCAGCATAGTTGTAATTCAAGAAGCTTTGGATGAATTGTCGTCAAGCTTGGTACATGTTATTGTATATGGTCAGGTGTACAACTTGATAGAATACAGGGGCACATCTCTAGCACGGTTCAGGCATACTATTTTTGGCACCATCCCTCATAGCACGAAGTCTAATTTTCTAATTCAATGACTCTCAATTTTTGACAAGTCAGATGTTCAAATGAGTCTGTCTTCTGAATCGCTATGAAATATAAATTACTTGTCGTTTTCAAGAATAAGCATGTGTTAGTCAGGGCTCGCAGGGCTCGAAATACTGGGTGCATAATATGTGCACCTTAGTGCACCCAAAACTGGAGCTGTGCACCCAATAGATCTGTGGGTGCACTGATGCACCCAACTATTTTGTAGGTCTATGATAAGTAATTCTTGATAAAGTAATTTGCAAATGAATAAACATGACAAAACTTATCTTCATAAGTGTGATTTTAATTGCATTTCAACGTCATCCAGAATATTTCAAGCACAGCATAGAGACCAACTATAGAAGTGTGTTCTTTAATGATTCAGAAGTTGTTATTTCTTCTTTAGTGATGACATTTACAGTTGGTACTGTAGTACTAGTAGGGTCCAACTCAGTTGTACCTCAGACTTGTTTGGCTTGGCAGTCTGCCCAAACTGAAGTATGTGGCTTCCTGTATTGTTTAAGAGTCCCATGATAAGGGGCGATGCAAACAAGAAAGAAAGGTCATGTGTGTTAGTGAGAAAAAATATTGTAAATATACATTTGTCACCTGAACTTGATTGCTTTTTAAACACTTGAAAAAAGGCAGAAATGGTAGCAAACTAAGACCAGTGTTAGCTATGAATAAAATTTGCATCATAATTTATTGGTTAGTTACCTAATTATGAATACCTTTTTGGGTTTAGAGTGCATATATGTTTTTTTTACAATTACATTGTTATTCTTGTCTTATAAGAAACGTTTAGAAAACACTGAATATTCATGAAAGTTAAATTTGTCACACAGAAATGTACTTGTCATCAACTAAATTTACTTGTTCTAATGCCTTTTTCTAAACCCTCCTTATGGACTCCAGTGTTGCCAGATACATGTATGATAACCTGCTAATGCATTCTTCTGTGTTGGGAGTCTTTGGAATTACTCAAACACAAATACTGCCTTGTATTGCAGTAATGTCAGGACTGCTGCAGCAACATGATCTGCAATAGTTAGTGAGTTTATTTATCCAGGGGAAAACATTATTTATGCCAAAAAAACAGTTACTCAAGCAACTGGATATGATTTTGGAAACGGTCAGACGTTTCAAGTAGCATCCACTACGGTAACCTTTCATCAGTGACACTAAGAGACTGCAGGAGAAATACAGGTTTATAAGCATGAACTAAGTAACTTGTTTTTTGGCGTATCTTATTACCTGGATGTCTATTGCACCAACGAAAACATTATTTGCCTCTTGGAAAATTCCCTTGTACAGTACGAGTCATCACATGACTGATTTGGATACAGTAGGAAACTGGAGTTTTACGTTTATTAGTTTGTGGTATTGTTGGTAATTTGTCGTTGAAGGTACATGATCCTTTGTAGAAATCTTGGTGTCTTTGAAATAAAAATTCACAAGCTAGTACAGGGTACAGCTCCAAAAGCTACAACATGGCTTAGCTTGCAGATGGCCATGACCTAAAATAGAACCAACAGTAACTCTTGAACATACTTGTTCAATAGATCTGTCATTACATCTTAGGCTGCTAAGCAACAGGGGCGTGACTGTGGCCCTGCTGTCAGCTCCTGTTTGTCTCCTACAGACAGGTGGATAGTTTTATCAGTGAAGTACTGTGTTAGTCTCCTTGTGTGTGGTGCGTGTACTTGACCACTCATGGCACATGGTGATAAAATCTCTGCTAGGGATGGAAATTCATTTTGGGGGCAATTGTTACACTAATACACTTACGTGCTCAGAAAATATTTTTTGGGCAGGTTTGCAGATGTAAAGTACTTGTATCAATATTTCCCTACTGGGAGAACTATCAAGGCCAGTAGCGAATCTATTTGATTGGTATTGGCCAACCTTGGCCTAACTGTGTGGTTGAATAAGTTAGAAATCTCCTGTTGCCTTAACCTGTCTGTGCCCTGATAGAAGTAGTCCAATGATTGCTTCTGTATATTGCACCAATCTTGCATTTTAATGACATTTCTGAGATAAAGATTCCTGCTATCCACCTGCAGGCATGACAATTACATCATGGAAGTGCTCTGGAAAGTCCAAATTTAATCTGGACGCTGTTCTAT